CAGAAAGGTCACCACCAAATAATAAATGCATGGAACAGTATAATAAATATTTACATATTAGTATGAATAGAATATTGTATTTCAAATGCACAATAAATTAACTTATGGACTATTTATAGATTGTACTTTCAACTCAAGTATATATGCTTTATTTAGCTGAATGAGGTTTTTTTCTCAAACATTTCTTATGCTTATACAATAACGTTTCAAACATGTTCCATGCGATGTTTATTTTGGATTCCTCTTTCGACTTGGTGAATTTTGAAACTGATAAGAATAATTCTCTATCCTCTTCGTTGGTTAGCTACAGTGTAGAGGAGAATATGGATGGACCACATTATTTTCTACATAATAGGCATTAACTGTATTCACATCATCACAAATATTGTGATAGGATGAAAATTTGTGACTTTAACAAATGTGTTGATATGGAATGTAATTTACCACATAACATTTGAGCATTTGGCGCTCTAATAAGTACCATTCGATTTTGAGAGTGCAATTACTAAAACCAAAAATAACTTGGGATATTTGTATTTTTCAAAGGTGCTGGATTTTTATTAATATAAATAGACTGAACATTTTAACATATTTTTAGTTGTTCACAGAATTTATTATTTATTAAAAAAAAAAGGAAACACTGACCCAATTTGGCCATCTTCCATATGGTTATGGAGCTTCCACACCTAGCCAAAATGAATAGCAACACTGCCAACTGCAAGAGGCAGATGTTGTCATTTCCCTCTCAATTTCACACTGTGTGTATATATAAACACAATATGTTACCCACAATTATAAAATTTCATACCTTTATACTAAAAATGCACAATTTTTTTGTGACATGTCATATTGTTTATAAAATGAGTTAAACTAGTTTGATTCATTTTCAAAAGAGATATATTAATGTGAAAATTTAGAATTGATTGAAAAAAAATCATATGATTAGGAAATAAATAAGAAATAAATGGACACACAAAGATTTAAAATCTAACCTTCATCGTAGTAGCAGGGTCCCCTGAAAACAGAGCTCTCAATTTAAGAAGAAACTCATTTAAATAAGGAAGAATTAGTTTTACTATCCAAATTGCTTCTTCCTCTCCAACAACCAAATCTTGATTCTCACTATCTACATCCATTGCTCTCCTGTGAGGCTCAATTCCAAAAATAAGTAAATAAATCAAATGTCTAATTTGTCTAAGATAAAAAATAATATTATTATGAATTAAATCCCAAATTTTACTTCATAAATAAAATACCTGGTAAAGAGGGATCTGAAAAGAAATATTGCAGCTAGGTATACAAGGCCTAAGTAGGACATGACAGAAATCAAGCTGCAAATGCCCAAAATCACACAATAAATATACATTGGTCATTTTTCTATAACTGGTATAAATAATCAAACATTAATCAACTGGAGCATGGAAAGGTTTTCATAGTTATGTTTGAAAACTTACCTGATGCTAAGATCCTTTGTGTACGAAGACGAAATAATACCAAATGTTCCAATACCAAATATAAATGCTGATTTTGATACATCTTTCCACATTATTAGGTCAACTGAACAAAACAAGAATACCATATATCCCTAAGACAAACAAATAATTTGAAAAAATGAAGTAACTAAACAAATATCCGAGTATGAGGCATTCACCAAAGATTTGCAATCTGCTATATTTTCTTGGTCGTGGAACATCATGGAAATTATCTGCAACTAGAAATTGAAACCAGAAATTTAAATAAATAAAACAATTACAAAACAGAAATAAATAAACTAAATCAAATCAAATCAAATTATAAAAAAAAAAAATCATAATTCGGGAAGAAATTAAAGAAACTCTATACACTCACTTGGCTTGGTTTTTGTTGGGGCAGGATGAAATCTTGGCTGTTTTCTAACATTTGTTGAACTCAAAACTGATCTCTCATTGTTTTGAAGCAGTTTTTTCTCCTCAATCACAGGTTTACTCTTTATTTCAACCTCAATTTCCTTATCCTTTTCATCACCATTGTTACCCAAATCTGATTCTTTCGGACCATCGGCCAACTCGCCACCAGATCTTGAAATCCCTTTTTCTGGGCTCTTGTCAATATCCCCATTACTACCCTTCAAATCCCTGTTTGGCTCAGAATTATTGATCTCATCATTTTTCTCTTCAATTTTATCCAACTCAGTGGAATCAGACTTCACTTTCCTCAATTGAATCGCATTCTTCACATTTTCATCCCTTGATGGGATCGATCTATTTCTCTTGATACCCGATTCCTTAAATTCTTTGTCCAAATTCTTCCTGAGTTCAGATCTCTGCCTCGCAATCTGAATTGAGTTCGATTTATCAGATTTCCATGTTTTTCGTCTGTCGGTCGACCCAATAGGAGGGCTCTGTTTGGCCCTCGTGATTTCGTTTGCCTTTTTATCAATCTGAACTTGAGGATTGTCGTTGTTGTTATGAATGTTGTCTTGGGAACTCTCTTGATTGGGACTGAATGCTTTGAAGCCACCTTTGACTTGATCGAGCTTCATTCGACTTTCCCAAACAGAGCCTGCTTTTGGGGCATTGCCTCTTCTTCTGCTACCACCCAAATCTAATACTGTCTCATTTGTAGTCATAGTTTATTTTCCTTTCTTTCTTTTAAACTGCAATTGAGTAGGCTTGGACCCAATTATCAAATGTGGGGCTGTGAGTGGGTTTGTGGCTTTGAGCTCAAGGAATTATGGTCGTTATTAGTGTTATGAAACTCATGAATGATGAAACATTGCCACATCAACTTGGGATCCTTCAGACAGACGCTCTGTGAGAGA